CGCCAGCGGCCGCCTCGTCGTGGCCGACAGGCTGGACCGGGAGCAGCTGTGCGGCCAGGCCGACACCTGCACGCTCCCCTTCGAGCTGCTGCTGGCCGACCCGCTGCAGTTCTTTCGGGTCGAGGTCACCCTCGACGACATCAATGACCATTCGCCCATTTTCCCTGAGGAACGAATCACTTTTAAGATCCCTGAAACGACCGACCCGGGCTCTCGTTTCCCTCTGGAGGTTGCTCGGGACCTTGATATTGGCATAAACAGTGTGCAGGCATACAGCATTGCTCCCGAGAACGAGTACTTTAGCGTCTCCTTTGGGAGTCGGATTAGGGGCAAGAAATACGTTGAACTTGTTTTGGAAAAGCCACTGGACAGAGAGGAGCAGGCAGAGATGGATTTTAGTCTGATTGCTGTCGATGGAGGCTCCCCACCTCGGAGTGGGACAACCCAAATTCACATTACAGTTCTGGATGTCAATGACAACGCTCCTGTCTTCACACAGGAACTGTATGATGTGCAGGTGTTGGAAAACGCAGCAGAGGGTTCTGTAGTTCTAAATGTGTTGGCAACAGATCAGGATTCAGGAATTAACGGGGACATTTCCTATCAATTCAGTAAAGAAGTTGGCCAGACCGACTTAGTATTTGAGATTGATCCCAAGAGTGGGGAAATCAAACTCAGAAAGCCTCTGGACTTTGAGGCAGCACAGACTCACGAGCTCAGTGTAAGGGCCACAGATGGAGGGGGGCTCTCGGCAATCTGCAAGGTGTTGGTGGAGGTGTTGGATGTGAATGACAATGCACCCGAGCTGCTGGTCAGTTCCTTCAGCAGTCCCCTCCCCGAGAACTCAGCACCCGGCACGGTGGTTGCCCTCTTTACTGTCAGGGACCGGGATGCCGGTGCCAACGGCAAGGTGTCCTGTGCCCTCGACCATCAGCTCTTCTTCTCCCTGCGGCCAGCCTATAAGAATTACTACGAGCTGGTGACTGTGAGGGCGCTGGACCGGGAGGACACGGCTCAGCACATCCTCAGCGTGACAGCAGCAGACGCGGGGTCCCCTCCTCTCACAAGCACCCACACC